TTATACACACTTATAGTACATATATGTATGATTAACTAAGTTGGCAACGCTTTTGAATTACTACCCCTTGAATATTTATGTATTTACTATAGATATATACATATATAAATAAAGGCGAAAACAAAGCTAAGTCTCATTTTTTTTTTTTTGGTTTCTTAATTTTTTTTTTAAGTTTTGTAAAACGCTCAAGAGTTAACTTCATTTTTGCAACATGCATGCAGTAAGTGTTTATTGGGATTTTATGATAGGATTAAGTTTGGTTTGGAAATGGCATGAGGGGTAGTGCTAGTAGTTAGGCAGAGTTTTAAAAACAAACAAAAAGAAATATTTAAGCGATTCAAAATTATTTAGCATTAAATTTATAAAAAAAGAGTCTATTAAAAGTGCTAAATACGAAATTGAAATCGATAATAATGAAAATTTTGTTTGAATAGTACTTTTACTAAACAAGTTGTAGTGTATTGTATTTACATACTTTTCGTCTCTCATTAACAAACAATAAGCAATCACTACAAACTAGTTGGTAATGGCATGTTTTCACGACAAAATGAATTATATCAATACTTTTGAGAATCAATCAATTTGTACTACATATTGCTTCTATTCAATTGAATTAGCGCTTACTTATCTTGTTTGTAAGTAATTTTGAAGGAACAAGTTTTTATAATTTTTATAATTTAAAGAAAACGCAAATTTTTAAGTCAAACATATGACAGTTGAAGATCTATGTACATACTTAAATGCTAGCAAATATTTTCGCGTCGAAATTTGCTATAGTAATAAAATTTTCTTTAAACTTCTAATATGTACATATATTTATCGCTATGTATACATGTTTCGATTTAAACTTAATGTTGAAAAATCAAATATTTCAATCAAACATTTTTACGCAAGATTATAAAAGGTTTCTCCTCCAAATGCAACTTGTCTATAAGCAACTATGTTATTTAAACTTATAAATATTTTCCAAATGCATCACAAAAGGAATCAGAAATATCGAAAAAAAACTTTGGAAGTAGAAAAAAAAAGAAAACCACAGCACAAGCCTTAAAATAGAGATACTATTTATTTAACTACATACATACGTTCGGAAGACAACTACGGTTGCTAATTTTGTATTAACTTAACCTATTTTTGAACCAAAACTAGAGAAATTATCAACGGCCAGTTTTGTTTATTAACATAGCCGCCGAGCGTGAAATGGGCCACATTACCAAGGAAGATTTTCTGCAAAATGCACGAAAATACAGCCAAGTAATTTTAATACGTTGTTAGGTCGTAAAACTCTTTATTTAGTTAGTCAGTGGCACCAGCTTATTTATAACGGGTTATCCATCTAGCCCTTGGTAAAGTACAGCCACCCAGCAATTTGACATTACTCATTAACATTGTAATTTTCTCAAGTGTTTGCTATGTATTTCGAACTGCGAAGTGTCGAGGCACACTTGTCTTTTCAGATCGTCTGAGCAGGCCAACAGAGGTTCATTGAATTCATTGACGTACAATGACGGTATTTTTTCTACAGCTAAATATTATCATTTAACAAATTACCAAGCCAATGCGGAAAGTAAGGACGTTTAAGCAATTTACGAAATTCAATTAAAATGGATCTTAGCGAACTCAAAGTTATAAAACGTTTATGCTAAATACAAATATGCGTAAGCATCACTAATTATAAAGAGCATTGCTGCAATCAAAACCAAGTAATACGAATACAAATAAATAAGTAGCATAGAGGAAAAGTGGCAACCGATGAAAAGCTAATAGACGCCGGCTTCTAATAGGACTACAGACAGGAAAATTAAAGTACGCTATAGCACAATAGATACTATTACTTAGGATTTAAGGGGTTACACCACCCTGGAAAAAAAAATAAAAATTTAATATCTTTTCGCTTGAAAAATTCTATCAGTTTTAAGTTGGTTGCCAACATTTTCTAAGAAATTTATAGCACTTTTTCAAAAAAATTTAAAAAAAATTGGTACACATAAAATATATTTATATAGTATTTTCTTTAAGAAGAAGTCAAAATGCTTTTTAAGTGTACATCTTTTATCTTTCTTATGCATTTCCTATATAAAAAAAAATATATTTCTTTGATATCATATCAATATTTAAATTAATATAAATCAAAAGTTAATTTTTATTGGTGAGATATTTGCTCATCTCACTATTTCAAAATCTTGATAAAAAAAACCTCTTCCTGTGAATGCCGAGGTTGCAGAAATAGAGGGCATACGCGAAATATATTTAAGTAAATTTGGTAAATCTTTCCAAGTATTTTTAAACATGTTGCCATTTTCGATCTGTTTTATTTTATTTATTTTAATACTAATATTTTAGAATAAATGTCATCGATTTTAAAACATTTCTTTCTTACAAATCAGTGAAATATATTTATATGTATAATTGAAGAAATATAGTATTTTTGCATACTATATTTTTTTCCAGCAGTATATAGTACGCAGACCCAAAAAATAGTACAATACTATGTATTATAGTACGGTTGGCAACCCTAGTTTTAAGCATATTTTAAGCGCTTCCCCATTCCAAAAACTAAAATACTTCTGTAGTTAGAAATGTATAGAATAGTTCATATTTCAGTAATACATAGTTCATTTTACATGGCGTATGAGTAACATTCTTTCCTGGTCATATTTCTTAAAAAAGAAATTGTTACGCATTTTCATTTAGCTTTAATCAATTTTTTAGCAATCAATTTTCTTCGTTGATAGCTTGATGTTTTTTGTAAAATAACAGGCTTTACACGAAGCAAAAGAATTTACAAAAAAAAATTATTTTTAATTTTTTTCCCTGTTAAAATGAAAATATCTTGAGAAAATGATCTGGTCTAGAAAGACGGTATATAGATCTGTAATCTAGGACCCAAAATTAAGTTTGCGTATTTCGGCGTTGTCTGTTGTAATTTAAAACTTGAAATTTTCCTTACAGTGTAATAATATCAGCCTTGAAATACTATGGAGAATTACCCTTCCCAAAAAGTGCTACTTCGTCATACAAAAAATTTTCACAAATTTTATTGAAAAACACCCTATCTCAGCTGAAAATTTATTGAAAATGTGCTGAGATAGGACGCTCTTCAACCAAATTCTGCGTTCTGGCGTTCTTTAAAAGTTTTCTGAGATAGGGCGTTTTCGAACTGGCTGCCGAGATACGTCGATCTTACACTCATGTGTCGATATGTAGTTTATGTAAAAAAAATGTAACCTATTATTTCGATGGTGTAACCCCTTAAGTATCTGTGCAAATCGCCCCACTGATAGTAATAAAAATTATGCAATTTTTTTTTCAGCACAAAACTATAAATTAAGAGCTTAAGTACAGTTTACTAAATGTAATCGTACATACATATGTACCTGTACGTACATACATATGTACATATCTACAAAGAACTTTAGAGAAGGTGAGCAAAGTTACCTTTTCGGTATCGGCATTTTTGCTATTTTTAACATCTTCGTTGTTATTTTGTGATGTTGCTTGTTGTTGTTGTTGTTGCTGTTGTTGTATTGATGCTGATTGTGCTTGTGTTGATGGTAAAGCTAGTGAAAGTGCTTGTTGTGATGTGGGTGCCGATGATGATGATGATGGTGGTGTTGGTAGTAACTGTTGTTGTTGTTGTTGGTGGTGGTGGTGTGATAGTTGTTGTTGTTTTGGTGGTGCTTGTGCTTTTTCTTGTGGTTGGGTATTTTTTTGAGTAATTGGAGACGACGCATTATTTACGTCGATATTTTCGCTTTTTGTACTTAATAAACTTAATATTTCGATGCCATTGATTGCTTCGGTGGTAGTTGTAGTTGTTGTTGTTGTTGGTATGGTTGTTGTGTCACCAATATTGCCGTCACCATCGACCGACTGAAATATATATATATGGAAAAAAGAAACGAAAAGAAAAAAGGAACAAACGAATTGGACACAAACGTTTGCTGGTGATTTTACTGTGGTGGGGCAAGTGCTGGGTGGGTGCTGGGTAGGTGAATGAGGTGAACGGTTGGTGGTGGTGAATGGTTTGGCGTATATTAGGTGAGTGACCGACCATTAAATACTTAAGTATTATAAGTGTGTTAAGCAATTATTGGGGCGTGATTGAAAGCAAGTGCGTTAATGTGCTTGACAAAGTAGTAGGCGCGCTCAGTAAAAGAAGTGAGATGACAGATTTTTGTGCGAGGGAAAATTTACTATTTGCGTATGTAGTAGTTGTTTATGACAAGTGGTGGCGGCTTTGCAGGTGCATAAGTGAGGCGTAAAAATCATAAGAAATAATAGGTAAACTGAAAATTTAAAGAAAGTCGGGGATATGAGTGATGATGGTTTATGTTTTTTTTTTTTCAAGCATAACTAAGCATGCAGGTTTTTTCTTAATAATTAGCTTAAATATTTCGTATCAGCATGTACTGTATATGTATGTAGGTATTTTCCTTAGAATGCAATAAGTCAGTGACTATAAGTGACTCTTTTTGTGACTAGAGACGATTTGGGTATTCAGTAAGAGAAAATTACAAAAAGTTCACCAGAGATGTTTGATGAAAACAAATAGAGGCAGTCACCTGATAGCGTGTTGCAAATGGTGATGAATGGTTATGTACATATGTACAGTTGCGAGCAATGAAATAGTAGCAACACACATAGTAAAAGTCTCAAAGATTGTACAAAATTAAACAAAATTAAACAAAATTAATCAAACTTCAAAAACTGTTCATAAAAATCTCAAACTTTTTATTCAGAATCTGTAGAAAATTTTCGAATATGCAGTTGTTTAGCCCATTAAATTGAAGTAAAAAGTGCGAGTTTTATGTCACTAAATGTGGCCTTTGATTTTTTAGAACTTTTTTTGCCGAAGGTGTTGCGCATTTTCTTCCATATGAACCAAATCTATTTTTATATGGAAGAAAATGTTCCACACCCTCAACTTGCACTTGCACTGTAAAAACATTGAATGGGCTACACAATTGCACACTCGGAAATTTTCTAAAAATACGGAATAAAAAGTTTCAAATTGTAATGATAATTTTTTGAAGTTTGATTAATTTTTGGGATTTTTGTGCAAGCTTTGAAACTTTGATTTATGTGGTTTTTGTTATAGATCGAACTATATCTTATATGAAATTTATTAAACGTAAATAAATAAACATAAGTTGCAAACAATATCATTTTGAAATTTGCTACTATTTTATTACTCGCAGCTGTATGTCATTTTGCGTGCACAAAGCACTAGCGTGCCATTTTTGAGATCCGAATACTCAGGCAGCGGATTTGTTTCTGTTTTATTTATTTTTTCCTAATTTAATTTTCTTTTAGATTTTAGACTTTATTATTTTAAAAAGAAAAACATTTTGTTTTATTTAATTTAAATTTTATGAAACGTGTTTTTCTAATCTAGTTTTCGCCTTTTTAGGGTAAATAGAAAGCAATTGTCTTTTTTCCATATCTTTCTTTTTGCGACCTGCTCAGCGCCAAATGACAAAGCCATACGACAACTTACTGAACACCAACTAGTCTCAAAATCGATGTTCACCACGAAAAGTATTTATTAGTGACTAGAGACTGCATACTGAATAACGGCATTAATCTAATTTACAAAACTTAGTGGAGATCAGTGACTTACCTTGGCAGTGATTTTCTTCTCCGCTCGATAACGATTATTCATATTGCCCGTTGTCGTGTAAGTTGAACCGCCACCGCCGATTGAAGGACTGTCTGTACCCGTGCGAACACCACCTAAGCCATCATTTTCGCCTATCAAACTGGACGAGTATTTAGATGTTAACGAAGAGGTGGTGGTATTTGTATTCAATGTCGAATTCGTATCGTCCTTACTAAGCGCCGATATTGTTGCACCGGTCATAGAGAGCGCAGCCACAGCAGTGTTGGGCAGCGGTGTGGATGAAGTGGAGGAATTATTAGCTGTGCCCGTGCTGTTTGTCGTCGAGGCATTCGTATCGATAAGTGGCCATTTGTTGCGGCTCTTCGCTTGCTTCTCAATGGAACTAACTGTGGTTGAAGGAAAAAATAAATAAAAAATAATTAAAAATAAAAAATCTAACAACATTCTATTGCATTCATACTATATGAATCCGGGAAGTCTGCACCCTTCACGCGCAAGCTTGCTATCTCATCGTCAATTTGCTGATTCACCACCGACTCATTATCGATCACCAGCAATATGTTCTCTGGCTTGATGTCCGTGTGAATAATGTTGCATTTCGTATGTAAATAGTCGAGTCCTTCCAGCACTTGTTTGATAATGTTGCGTACTTGCCCAATGGCTAAGCCCTGATAGTTATTCTTCACAATCAATTTGTACAAGCTGCAACCAAGCGCCTCGAAAACCAAGCAATAGTGCTTGCCATTAACGCCACGTATCGTAAAGTGATTAAGCAGTCGTACGATACGTTCACGTTTCATATCGAGTGGATCCGCATCGCGTATGGCTTCGAGCAGACGTATCTCATCGGCAGCAGTTTCGATATAATGCGGTGCACTCTTAACCACCTTAAGGGCGACGTATTTCTCCTCTCTAGCGGANACCTCCCCGACAATATTGTGACGGATCTTCCTGCTCCTCATCCGAACCATATAGGCTACTATCCGGTGAATCAGGATAAATTTCCTCTGTGGTGCTCATTGTGCCCCGAGGCTCGGAACTGTGAACGATGGATGACCAAAATTAGTTCATTGTCGAAATATTTTTATACGAAAATAAAGCATTGCAAAAGGAAAGGGCAAATAAAAGCCATTACAATTTTGAGTAGTGCTTGGAAAATCAAAGATTAAATAAAAATTATATCCGATACAGAAACTCTAATAAATAACAATAGGGATTAGACGTAGATTTTTTTCATTCAAACATAGCCACAGTGGTTAAGATTGTAAAATTTTAGAGAAAATCTCGCCGCAAAAAATATCAGATATCGTTTTCTACCTTTTGAAAGTTGCTATTAAACCACTGTAAAGTTTGAATAATCGTATTGCTCCATGGACCCAGATATCGGACGCCAAAGACTAAAATTTCATGAAAAGATTTTTGGAATAGCTTTAAGCCATCCGTAAAAAATAATAGAAGATATTGCGTATTCTTCTTTAGAGATTTCCCTTTCGTTGCTTGAAAGGATCCAAGTGCAAAACTAGAAATTTAGGAAGAAGATCTAAAGAAGTCATGGGGTCTTACTGCGAGTAGACACTTAAACATACTATTTCCTAATTTCAATGATTCCATTTTTTTTCGAAGTTTTCGCCTGTCTAACGATGGCCACCAAACAACGACCATACTTTTGGATATGCGGACTATACTTTTGGGTAGTCGGACTATATACGATTTTAGTCACTATCGTCCCCACACAGCTGTCTTGCAGCCCTATAAAGCAGTAATGGTTTTCGTCAAACGATTCAAAATCTTTCTTTACGGCATTGTCTTCCATAACGAAAAGAATTTCGGCGGAGAGTAGGGAAAAACTCATTTTAAAAAGGGTGCAGGAAAGTAAAATTTCGGCCTTGCTGGGTTTAACACTGTTTTCGCGCAGCAGATAAGAGTTAAAGTGTTTCGAGTTCTTTCGGGACAATGTCAAACAACCTCGGCAAAATCAATCTATTTTACAGCCACTTGAAACTTCCACTAAAACTGCATTCGCTACAAAACTGCATACCCGATGAACCAAAATTACAAACTTATGCCGGATTTCCACTAGGCATTAAATGACGCAAATTTGAATGACAAAGTTGGGCATTAAAAAGTCGGGCACTTAAAAAATGGTCCACAATTTCGTTTCCACAATGCATTTTTTTTTAAATTAAAACATTTTTTGTCATTACCAAATGGAAACCTGTCATTATTTAGTTAATTCCAAGCACTACTCGCTAATAGCAAGCAATCGGAGAGCAATCTCACATAAACAAACACACACACACATCAAAGATACAATTTCTGCTTCCATTTCTGTATCCATTTCGATTTCAAATGAAGCGCCACCCACAGCCAACGGCTCCAAACGAACTGGCAAGAAGTTGTCATCTTCCTGCGACGGCGACAGATATATCGGACGCGCTGGTGAGGCATTTGGTGGTGTCAACAGCTCGAGTTGTTGCTGATGTATCAGCTGCTGCTGTTTAAACTCCAACTGCTGCTTCAATTTCATCTCCTCCTCACGCGCTTTCTTATGCTTGTGATGCGTCTTCTTCGAACGGATCGCAATCAATATAGGACCCGCTGAAACGCATTTCCGTTTCTTGGTGATGCGTTTGCGGCGACGCTTTTCCTCAATCTCAAGCATCCGCTGATTGGCGGTCTCCAGCGCTGCGCGCAACTCTGACGGCGATACAAAATTGAAATCACAAACCAATTCACGCGTCACGGTGGGTGTAATACAAGACGCTGGTGTTGTTGTGGTATCACCATTTAGAGCGTCCACTTCCAGTACCTCAATGCGATCTTCGGTGGTTATAGGCGGCCAATTCGTTGCAGCTGCAGTTAAGAGTTGTGATGTCGCTGCCGTTGGAGTTGCGAGCGGCGCTTTCGCTGATTTAATCCAATGCATGAGAAAGAGGAAGAGCAATAGCGCGCAAAATTTGATCGCGAACATAAATAGGGGATCACTGGCGAGCAGTGAGGTCCAATGTACCAGTTGAGTGCTGCATGCGGTGCAATATTCCACAGTATTCTGATAGGCATCGTAGCAGTGCTGCATCGCGAGCAGCAGTGTGGGCCAGATGTGGTGCATGAGCAGCGCATAGTAGCGTTTATATAGTGCATGTAGCTGTTTCCAGCTTGGCGCGTCTGTTGGTCGACATATTTCAAGCGCGGATGATGGTGCGGCGAAGTCATAGAAGTCCACGCGCTCACAAGTGTTCTGTGCGGATACTGAGGAGCTAATGAGCGCGCTAAGCTGGTGTTGGAGAGTTAATGCGATTTTGTGCAGCATCGTTTGAATATCGTACATTATGATAGCTTGTGTTTTATCAATGTTTCGCTATTATAATCGTTATTAAACTGCTCATATCATTTTTATCGGTGACTATATAGAATGAAATCGATTTTTTTGCACATATTTTTTATATCACGCCGTATAATGCTTTGATAAGGTACGTACAGTGTGTACAGGAATTAGATTCAACTATTTTCAGATCGCTTTATTTTATTGCTAAACTATCAGAGTAGAAATTGTGGTTTTTGGCGACCAAGCCGTAATATAAGTTACTAGTAAACCCGCATGGCGTTAAAACGCCCAAAATTCAATGCCATTCCGAATGCCATATTTCATCAAAACTGTGCAGCCGTTTCTGAGTGAAGAGCAATCTCGCATTGTGCATGTTTTCATTTTCATAGAATTTCAAATTACCCTATACCGATGAAAAAAATTCTTAATTAAAAAAATAAAACTTTATCTAAAGGCTAAGGTCTAGAATTTGACCTCTCATTTTTGAAATTCCTTTTCGAAAGTAAACTGATGAGCTAGTTCAAATCTGATTGCTCGAACAAAGGGCAACAGTCCTAAATAAAGGTCAGGAATAAATACCTTTGAAACCCATTTCGATTTATACCCATCTTTTAATAATTCATCCAACTTACTGAATAATATGAATGTAACTTTTTAAGCACGTGGCAACTCTCTTCAAACATTCGAAGTGTTCAAAGTAAGGATTTCTTAACCTTCTTTCGTTGGACTATGGTATTTTATATTTCATATACTTTTTGAATTGTTTAATTNGCACGTGGCAACTCTCTTCAAACATTCGAAGTGTTCAAAGTAAGGATTTCTTAACCTTCTTCCGTTGGACTATGGTATTTTATATTTCATATACTTTTTGAATTGTTTAATTGAGTTAGACCTTTCAACCAGGTGGCAGCCCTCTTCAAAAGTATTTTCAAGCTTAATCATTGTTAAAAATTTCAAACTCCCTTCGATTGATAATACTAACAATAGATTGGCGCTTACACATATGTTAATGTTTGGCCGAGCTTCTCCACCCATATGGTTGTACATATTTCTCTTACCTAATAAGAGTTTTTAAACGGGTGGCAACCCTTCTATAGTTCAGCTAAGAAACAAAGCTTTTCGAAACCATTTCGTTTGATGTCCAGTTTGTAATAATTGATTTATTTTTTTTTAATAATCTGAATATAATTTTTTAAAAGGTGGCAACTCTTTTCAAAAAAGTAAAACCTTATGGCACATCTGCAGTGCAAGGCTTTTAGTTTGACGCCTCATTTTAGAAAATCGAGCGAACAATTTGGATTTGGTGGCATTGATTACTAAATAATTTGAATTTAATTTTTCATCAGGTGGTAACTCTTTTCGAAAAAATAAAACCAGTTTGCACATCTTGCGCTTTAATTTTACATCCCATTTTTGAAATTCGAATGAACGGTTTTGCTCCGAATGCATATTTTTTTCCAAGGCTTGGGTATCAAATAAAGTAAATTGGATAGCTTTAATTTTAAAATATTACCTTTTTCGATGCAATTTATGTCAAGAATCAGGAATTTATGCAAAGAATCGACTGATGCTTGGTCCGATTAAATGCAAATACAAATTAATTTCAAGAACAAATGCCTTTATAAACTTTTATAATAACAAACAAAAAGAAAAAAATAAAAGAAAAACATAATAAAATAACATAACCTCATTCTAAGCCTAAGCCGATCCTTTTGGCCGATACTAGGCTCGGCATTGGCTGATTTATCGGTCAGACTCCAACCTGAGAGAGTAATATTGAATATCAATTACCTAAACAAAAAATTAAATTAATACATATACGATAGAAAATACCAAACTGGTTACCACCGGTTTTTTGCATATCTCTAGGCGGCTTTTTAGATATCTAGATTTTTCGAATATCGAATAAACCGGATTTTTTGTCGAACAAACCGCTTTTTTCCATTTCATACAAATCTTGGCCTCAAAAAAAGTTTCGAATTTTTCGAAGTTTCCCAGGTTATTTGGGGATGTACAGTATATCATATTTTATTCCAATAAATTAATGTTTGCCGCTTAAATGTTTTCGACGTGTTTGGCCAAGCTTCCGCTATAATTCGTGTTCTGCTTCTTGATGCTCTGACACAAATTATACTCCACCTCCGAAGAAGCTTTTTTATGGCAGAAGTACACTCGCACCGCTAAAAGAAAAAACTTTCTTTGATGTTGCTGGGACCAGAAATTAAACCGTGCACCTCCCAAGTGGCAGTAGGCACATCTAAGCACTCGGCTACGGCGGCAAGAGCACTACTGAAATCCGAAAAAAATTCAGAAAAAATGGAATTAACTATTAAAAGAAGTTAAAGTTTGTTTTACTTTTGATTTAAAAAAAAATTTTGAACTTATTTTGCTTTGTTCTTTTCTAAATAAAATCAATCTTTACTGATAACAGTTTTATTGTAATTTGTTGTCATGACTTCATGCCAACATAAGAATAATTTTCACTGTATGATAACTATGTAAATTAAGACCGGTTTATCCGGTTTTTTCTTAACTTCAAAATCCGAACCCGGTTTTTTTTCAAATAGCAATTTTTCGAATAACTCGAAAACGGGTTTTAAAAGAGGCCTAATATTCGAACAACCTAGAGGCAACTCCACTCAAAAATATATCTAAATTGAGGATTTTTGAATCACTTCCCATTTTATATTATTAAAGTTCATATAAACAAATAC